GAGGTTTTTGATTACCATTTCAATTTTGCTGCATGTAATTGGTCTGTTTATTTGTTCTATTTCTTCTTTATCTAGTTTTGGATGATTGTAGAGTTTCAGAAATTTGCCCATCTCTTCTAGAATTTTGAGCTTATTTCCATATAACTATTCATAATAGTTTCTAATTATTCTTTTGATTTCTGCTGTGTCTGTTGTGATTTCTCCTCTTTCTTTGTGATCCTGTTTATTTGTGCTTTCTCCCATTTTTCCTTTGTGAGCCTGGCTAGGGGTTTGTCTATTTCATTTATTTTTTGAAGAACCAGCTTTTGGTTTCATTGATATTTTGGATTTTTTTTTTAATTTCAATTTCATTTATTTTTGCTTTGGTTTTTATTATTTCTTTTCTTCTACTAGTTTTAGGTTTTTTTTTTGTTGTTCTTTTTCTAGTTCTTTGAGCTTTGAGATTAGGTTGTTTCTTTGAGTTCTTCTTGTTTCTTGATTTGAGCCTCTATTGCTATATATTTTCCTCTTATTACTGCTTTTGCTGCATCCCATACATTTAGGAAATTGGTGTCCTCCTTGTCATTCAACTCAAAGAATTTTTTAATTTCTTCTTTCATCTCCTCATAGTTCAGTGTTCTTCCAGTAGTGTGGGTTTCAATCTCCATGAGATAGGAGAGTTCCTTGCCTTCTTTTTATGGTTATTTCTAGTTTGATGCCTTCATGGCCAGAGAAGATGGTTGGTATGATTTCAATCTTGGTGTATCTGTTGATGTTTGTCTTGTGTCCCAGTATGTGAATGATCCTGGAGAATGATCCATGTGCACTTGAGAAAAGTGTGTACTCAGATTTTTTGGGGTTTAGTGTTCTGTAGATGCCTGTTAAGCCCAAGCACTCTATATCCTTATTTAGAGCTTTAGTGTCTTTACTTATTTTTTCTCATTGATCTATCCATTGTTGATAGTGGTGTGTTGAAATCTCCCACTACGTATGTGTTTTCACTGATGTCTGTTTTCAGAGATAACAACAGTTGTCTGATATATATTTGGTGCTCCTTCATTTGGTGAGTATATGTTAATGAGTGTTATTTCTTCTTGAAGTATTGTCCCCTTGATCATAATATAGTGATCGTTGGGGTCTCTTTTTACCTTTTTGAGTTTGAAATCTGTTTTATCTGATATAAGTGTAGCTGTCCCTGCTTGCTTTTTTGGTCCATTTGCTTGTAGGATTGTTTTCCATCCTGTAACTTTGAGTCTATGTTTATCTTTTGTAGTCAAATGTATTTCCTGGAGACAGCAAAAGGTTGTGTTTTGTTACTTCATCCAGCCTGAGACTCTGTGTCTTTTTATTGAAGAGTTTAGTCCATTTACATTTAGAGTTAATATTGATATGTTAGCATCTATACTTGCCATTTTGTTTGTCTTTCCTCTAGTTTTATTTATTTATTCTTTAATAAGTTTTTTTGGCCTTCTTTTGTTTTTATTCATCCCTCTGTTGTTTCTGGCCTTAGGATTCCTTGTAGTATTTTTTGGAGTGGGGGTTTAGTCCTAATGTAATTCCAGAGTTTCTGTTTGTCTGGGAAGGTCCTTATTCTTTCTTCATAGAGGAAGGAAAGCTTTGTGGGATAGAGTATTCTTGGTTGGCATTTGTTATCTTGGAGTCTGTTGACTATGTCCCTCCACTCTCTCCTTGCCCATAGTGTTTGTTTGGAGAAGTCTTATGTCGGTCTGATTGGTTTTCCTTTGAATATTATCTGTTTCTTCCCTCTTGTCAGCTTCATTATTTTTTCCTTGTCTTGGATTCTTGGAGCTTTACTACTATGTGTCTTGCTGTATTTTTCCTTTCATCATGGAAGTTTGGTGTTCTTCTTGCTTCTTGTATGTCTATTTTCAGCTCCTTCATGTTTGGGAAGTTCTCTTCAGTTATTTCCTTGAATATTTTCTCTCTTCCTACGTCTCTCTCCTCTCCTTCTGGGATTCTTATTACTCTTATATTTCCTTTCCTCATGGAGTCAGATAGTTCCTGAAGTCTTCTTTGGTCTTTTTCCTTCGTACTTCTCTTCCTTTTCTGTTTTGGTTCTTTTTATTTCTGTGTCTTCAAGAGTACTTATTTGTTCTTCCATTTCATCTGTTCTGCTTTCATTGCTTTTCCCAGAGTTCTTTAGCACCTCCATTAATTCTTTTATCTCCTGCTTTTCTTTTACTTCCTTCTTTAGTTAGTCAATTTCATTCTTCTGATCATTGATTATTTTTCTCTTATAATTGTTTTCCTTTATGACTTCTGTCAGTTTTTAATCACGGCGATTTTAAATTCTCTTTCTGGAAGGCTCCGAAGTTCTTCCAAGTCACTGTCTTTGCAATCTGGTGGGTGGTTTTCTTTTTGTGGTGTGTCTTTTACCTGAGGAGTTGCTAGGTTGCATGTATTTTTTTTCTTCTCCCTGCTACCTGTTTTCTAGTTTGCCATATGCATTGGGACACTGTGCTTCTGGTCCTGGCCAGCATCTTTTTGGTGTGCTCTTTGTGGGGTTTCGGAAAATGGGAGTCCAAACGAGTCAAATACTGTTATGCCGGAAGTTTAGTGAGTCAGTGGTACTTTGAGTATGTTAATGGTCACTGTCGCAGAATATCTCCTCCTTCTGTGTTTAATTCTAAAGTTGTGTCTTGTAGTCCCACAGACTTCCCTGGAGGTGGGGCAGCTGAATTGCACTCTGGGTTGCAAATCTCCGGATCTCCCTTTGGGCTCTGACTTCCTGCCAGGCAGTACCAGGCGTGTGGGGGCCTTCAGCTCACCTCTGACTGCACCGGGAACCTTCTCCCTCTGGCTCCACAGGGAGCCTTCTGCCGGTTTCAAGCAGTCTTTATTGAAGAAAACTCCGTGTTCTAAAATGGAGAGGTGGAGATGCCCTGAACATTCCATTTTTTTTCAGTTTATGGTGTTTTAAAAGACAACTGTCAAAAACTGAAAGTGCTTTTCCTCTCCTTTTTTGCTTTTGACTCTGTGTTTATTGGAAACACTTGTCAGTCACTAAGTTATTTCATTCCACCAATATTTATGGGGTATCAGCCACATGCTCGGTGCTGTGTACAAAACAGACAGACCCCATCTTCAGAGAACTGCTTCTTGCAGGAGGCAGTGACTAATAAAGACAAGAAACCCACCCCACCCCACCTGCAGAAGCTCTGAGAGGAGGGACAGTCATGGAGCAGGACGGGCAGTAGGAGATGGAGGGGCATATGGAGAAGCTGTGTCCATAAAGGGGGTCAGTGTAGATGGCAGGATGGGAGCAAAGCCCTGTAGAGGGGTGTAGCGTTGAGAGTCCCATGGAGGGAGCAGCCTGTGGGGAACTGGCTGGTGTCAGGGGTGCAAGGACAGAGGGGGTGAGCATCAGCTGGAGCAGAGGGAGAGGGAAGGATACAGGAGTGGGTGTCAGAGGCCTGGGAAAGGATCACCCTGTGTGGCTTGGGGTGACTGTGGGGATTGGGTGCCCCTGCCAGGATGTGAGCAGAGCAGGTCCTGGTTCAGCTTGGAGGTAAAAGGGCCCCAGAATGGGATTGGCAGGAGAAACTAGTCTTTGTGTCTCCAGGTGAAAGAGGAGGGGCTCAGACCAAGCTGGGGCAGCATGGGTGAGAAGTGGCTCTTTGGAGGTTCAGGGGGCTGCTGAGGACAGCACAGCCCTGTCCTGTCCTTCCCAGGTTCATCAGTTTAAGGGTTCTGACTGGCTACATTTCTTAATTTTTTATAACTGTGGAATATTAATTACATACTCTATAGATTTTAGGTGTGCGATTTCTTACCCTAAAACCTGTATATTTCATTCCACACCCACTATCAAAAGTCCAATAACAATCCTCTACCAAGCTTTTCCTTGCACCCTCCTAGTCTCTGGTAACTGCCATTTTGTTGACACAATCTAAATAATTGCTTTTGCTTGTTTATTGATTTCTTTTTTTTTCATAGTCCAAAAATGAGTGCAATCCCATTATATTTGTCTTTCTCCATTTTATTTCAGTTTTATGTGAGTTTAGAGTTTTGGATTATGCAGGTAAGGAGACCTGATCTTTGAGATGCTGAGTCAGAGGATTTATGTGGGGTCTGCAGTCACCTAAACTCTGCTATCTCATGTTTTTGGCACCACAGATGGCCTGACTCTCTTGGTTCCAGGCCTGAGACTCTGCCATGTTCTCATTATCAGTGTGCTTCAGTAGGTTAGTACCAGTTCTCAGTGGGGAGAGAGACAGTGCACTCCAGCTGTTATTTTCAATGGGGACCTGGTCTGTTGGGACCACAGAGAGTCTTTGCAAATATTTGCAATTATTTGAGGATATGTGGCTTCACACCATTCAGTTGTACCTCCCCAGGGCCACTGGTCAAGTGGCTGGTTGAATGGCAGCACCACAATTTGTTCTGTAGCTTCCCATTTCTGACAACAGACTCTAGGTGTCTCTTTCCATATACCTTTTTTCAGTGAAGTATTAATTTCCTCTCTTTCCCTTTTGTGTTGTCCTTCTTGAGTCTGAATTCCAAGAGTTGTTCCAGTTTTGTTGCAAGAACAGTGTTCTCTGGGTGCACTGTTCCTTTCGTTAACCTTGATGATCCTCTGGGGAATGAAGTCATGAACCTCTTCTGACACAAACTGTGTATCCCCAAGAACTCTTTTGAAATGTACACTGTAGGCTACATCCTGATCTACTGTATCAGCTTGGTTTAGGGTTCCCACAGTCTATGTTTACAAGCCCTCCTGGTGATTCTGATACATGCTGAAGTTGAGAACCTTGGAGTTAGGATTCTCCATGGAAATTCCTGCTGTCAGGTATAGCAGTGAATGAAGGAGTATTTTCACAATTATTTCTAGACCATGAGTTGTTTTTGGAACATCTTTTCCAGATTCATATTTGCGACTGCTCAATGCTTCACTTTGTCAGTCTTATTTGACACCCTCCCAACACTTCCCCAACAATGGTGTGAGTTTTGTGCCATGCATGCACCTTTAAGCTGTGTCACTCTTATGTCTGTGTTCACAGAGAAGTTCCAGGTGATTGGCCCCTCAGAACCTATTGTGGCAGAGCTGGGTGAGGACATCATACTGCCCTGCTCCCTGTTCCCCATCATGAGTGCAGAGAACATGGAGGTGAGGTGGTTCCGGTCACATTTCTCGGAGTCAGTGTTCATCTATCAAGACAGACAGGAGCTAAATGAGAAGCTGATGGCCCAGTATGCAGGACGAACCTCACTGATGGGGGAATTCCTCAGAGAAGGTGAGGCTGCTGTAACTGTCCACAAGGTCCAGGCCTCTGACAATGGGCTGTACACCTGCTTCTTCAGCAATGGAGTCTTCGATGGGCAAGCCAGTTTGGAGCTGCAGGTGGCAGGTTGGTGAAATGGTTAAATATCAGAGTTTTGGAGCTTAGTGCTGGGAAGAACCTAAGGACAATGTTATTTAGTCTCTCACTTCATTCATGAGGAAGAAAAGGTTTATTAATTCATTGTTGCATTAAATGTAAACATATAGAACACCTACTATATGTTTGGGCCTCTTCTAAGCACTTGGATACATCAGTGAACTAATAAAGTTTGCACACTGTGAGTTTTTATTTTCAAGAGTGAGATAGAGCTATCACAATAAATAAACAGGTTATATATGATTTAAGAAAGTGATGAGTAATGAGGATAAGAAGTTAAATGGAACAGGGAAAATGGGTCAGCAATGTGGGTCTGGGAGTGAGGGCAGGTTACAGTAATAAATAGATCAGAATGGTCACATTGGAGCAAAGACTCAAGGGAAGTGGGGATTTAGCTAAGTAGATATCTGGAGTATTGGACTTCCTTCTCTTTCTCCCTGGTTTTATTGAGAAACAATATTCATCATTGTATTAGTCTGAGGCATATAGCATGGTGATTTGAATTACATATATAGTGAGATGTTTGCCACAATAGTTTAGCCAACATCCATCTTCTAATATAGATATAATGAAAAGAAAAGATAAAGATGGAAGACAGGAAATATTTTCTGATCAGGAAAATAAATCTTAAAGTTACTCTTTTAGCAAATTTCCTATACAACACACAGCAGTGGTAGCTACAGTCATCATGTTGTAAATCACAGGGAAGGAATTTTTAAGTAGAGGGATCAGCCGATGTGAATAACCTGGAGTGAGTATGTGTTTCTGTTCTTGGGTCACATGGAGTCCTCATGTCTGGTGGGAGAGAATGAGGAGGCAGGGTGTTGAGAGATGACAATACTGGGGGCCTCCCTGGCATCCAGTTAAAGTCAACACTATCAAGCTTTTGCCAGCTACTACAGCATGAGTTTGATCCGCAGCCAGGTAACTGACCCACATGGCACAGCAGACCTCTCCTGACTTGCCTGCTGCTCCCCTCAGCAGTGTATTTCAGTAGATCTGCCTGTTCTGCTCCCCACTCTCTCTGGTGCATCCTCTCACCCCCCACACCTCTGGCTTACACCCCATATCTTGTATGCATAAATAAACAAATCCTTAAAGAGATGAAAATACTTTATGAAAAGATGTCATGAGTTCAATGTACACAGGTCAAGGGTGGTCAATTAATACTACCAAAGTTAATCTTTAAAAATCTCCATAGAAAGTGGACTCTTCAGCTAGAAATTCATTTCATCAGATAGGGTTTGTTAAACCCATTCAGAGCAGAGAAAGAAAGGATGATAAAGTGTTTAGAGCCTGGTGTTTGTGGTTAATAGCAGTTAAATTTTTGGGTTTTTAGTGTTTGTCCTTGAGGGCACAGCTGATAAAATTTGTGAGGGAAGCAGAAAGAAGATGGATGGCAAGAAAGGAAGTTGGCAGATAGAGAAGGCTTGGTGCACAGTGTTATGGTGTTGGATGTGGAGCTGTTGAAAATTTTGAGCGCAATAGGTTTAAAATGATGACTCTTGCAGTAGTGGGGAGGTTAATGAGAGGAGAGAATATCTGGGGGCATGGAGTGCAATTATGGTGTGAATGGAGCACTGCCTGACTCACACAGTGAGTCAGTACCCAATTGAATGAGCAGAATTGGGACAGAGTGTTTTAATGGAAATAAAGAATTGAAGAGGCTTCCAAGCTTTTGTCCTGTTTGTTATTGAATGTTAATGTGTATAAGTTGCCTATCACCATGATGATGCTGGGTAACAAACAACCACAGAAAATATCTTAGTGACCTATAGTAATGGACTTCACTTTGGGCCTATCAACACTTCAGCTAACCTGGGATGGACTTGACTAAACTCCATTGACATTACACATGCATCTTTGGTCAGATGAAAAGGTCACTGGCTGGTTTGTTCACATGAATGGTCACTGGCTACTGGCTGAAGGAGGGCAGCTTCAGCTGGAAAAGCTGGTGACAGACCCTGCTACATGAGCTCATCCTCCAGCACCTGGACTGTGATGTCCTTCCCTGGAGATAGCAGAGGGAAGATCCATGGGGCCAGCACTTTAAACCAGTCAATGAGCTGATCTCTCATGACCGAAATCACGTGAAGTCACATAACTGAACCCAGGGTCACATGACTGAACCCAGAGTCAGAGTGTGAGGGAAGTAAAATATAGGTGGCAGAGTGTGAGCTTTCTGCTATGAAGAAGCATAAAGACTGTTGTTATAAACAACTTACCATAGATGAGGCAAAATCATTACTTCAGATGTAGAATTTTGAGTTTGAAGTGAATGTGAGAAATACCATTAGATGTAACCCCTAAGGATGGTTATATAATGTTGGTAGGTTGAGGAGATGTGGTGAATTGATATTTTGAAAGTGATACATAATGGGGAAACAGAAAGCTTTGATGGAGATGACCTGGGGGTATGAGAGAGAGAGTGAGAGAGAAGACAAGGCATGGAACAGCCCTCAGGAAAGATGATGACCTGTGGGGTGAGAGCTAAGGGAATTGTCATCCTTGGTGGGGAGATTCCCTCTCACTGAATCACTGGAGGCTGGGAGGGAGATCAGTTTAGATAAGGAAGAATTTGGGGGTTATTAAAACAAACTAAACAATATGTATTCCAGAAATCTTCTAATATCAAATATTTTCTGCTATCTCAACAAAGTCAACTCACAATTTTCTACTGTCAAATATGCATGGATAAGTACAACTTATGCCCTTGAATATTTTGGTAACATGCCTATTTTTGTAGTCTGACCTTAGTTTTATCCTTTATTAATTTATCCTTATAAATTATCTTTTTTAGAAAAAAGTAATTCAAAATTCCTTCTCTCCTGTGGGCATTATCTCTCTACCTGCAGGGTTGGGGGAGGAGCCCAGACCCTTCCTTCTGTTTATATTTTTTTTATATTTTATTTTATATAATTCTTACATCATTTTTCATTTTGCGCAATGTATGCATTTTTATTTTGGTTATATTCTCCATACAATTGCACCCCCCGCCCCTTATTTTGACCCTATTTTTTTCTCTCCCCCCGCATAGTGTATCTCTGGTTTATAGTTGCTTGTTGACTTTGATTAGTCTATTTCCTGGTCCCTTGTTTAGGTATTCTAAATTCCTGCTATGAGTGAGACCATCTGGTATTTTTCTTTTTCTTTCTGACTTATTTCCCTGAGCATGATCCCTTCTAACTCCACCCATGTTGCAACAAACTGCATGTGTTTATCTTTTTTGAATGCTGAGTAATATTCCATTGTGTATTTGTACCACATCTTCTTGATCCAGTCATCTATTTTTGGGCATTTGGGTTGTTTCCATAGCTTAGCTATTGTACATAGTGCTGCTATAAACATAGGCATGCAGATGCCCTTTGGAATTACTGTTTCTGTGTCCTTAGGGTAAATACCTAGGAGTAGAATTGCTGTATCATACGGAAGCTCTATCTTTGGTAGGTCAAGAAATCTCCACACAGCTCTCCATAGTGGTTGAACCAGTTTGCACTCCCACCAGCAGTGCAGGAGAGTTCCTTTTTCTCTACAACCTCACCAACATTTGTTGTTGCTAGTTTTTTTAATATGTGCCATTCTCACTGGTGTGAGATGGTATCTCATTGTAGTTTTGATTTCATTTCCCTGATTACAAGTGATGTTGACCTTTTATTCATATGCCTGTTGTCCATTTGCGTTTCCTCTTTGGAGAAGTTTCTTTTTAGCTCCTCTGCCCATTTTTTGATTGGATTATTTTCTTTGTTTTTGTTGAGTCTCATCAGCTCTTTGTAGGTTTTTGTGATCAGTCCTTTATTATTAGTGTTGTGTGCAAAAATGTTCTCCCGGTGGGTGGGGTTTATCCCCGTTTTGGTTATTGTCTCTTTTGCTGTGGAGAAGCTCTTTAATTTGATGAGTCCCAGCTGTCTATCTTTGTCTTCGCTATCACTGCTTTGGGTGATGTGTCTGTAAAGATGTCTTTGAGGTGCATGTCAGATAGTTTTTCACCTCTATTTCCTTCTACATATTTTATGGTTTTGGATCTTTTGTCTAGTTCTTTAATCCATTTTTTAATAATGACTTTTATTTTTATATTCCCCATACAATTGCAACCCCCTTATTTTGACCCCAATCCCTCCCCTCCCACCCCATACCCCCATAGAGTGTCTCTAGTTTATAGTTTTTTGTTGATTTTGATTTTCACTTTCTTATAGCTATTCATTTTCCTGGTCCCTTATTTAAGTTTTCTAGATTCCTGCTATGAGTGAGACCATCCAGTATTTTTCTTTTTCTTTCTGGCTTATTTCGCTGAGCATGATCCCTTCCAGGGCCATCCATGTTGCTACAAATTGCATGTGTTTATCTTTTTTGAATGCTGAGTAATATTCCATGGTATATATGTACCACATCTTCTTGATCCAGTCATCTCTTTTTGGGCATTTGGGTTGTTTCCAAAGTTTAGCTATTGTAAATAGTGCTGCTATAAACATAGGGGTGCAGGTTCTCTTTGGAATTGATGTTTCTGTGTCCTTAGGGTAAATACCTAGGAGTGGAATTGCTGGATCATATGGAAGCTCTATGTTTAGTAGGTCAAGAAATCTCCACACAGCTCTCCATAGTGGTTGGACCAGTTTGCACACCCACCAGAAGTGCAGGAGAATTACTTTTTCTCCACACCCTCGCCAACATTTGTTGTTGCTAGTTTTTTTAATATGTGCCATTCTCACTGGTGTAAGATGGTATTTCATGGTAGTTTTGATTGGCATTTCCCTCATTACAAGTGACGCTGAACATTTTTTCATATGCCTGGTGGCCATTTGCATTTCCTCTTCAGAGAAGATTCTTTTTAGCTCTTCTGCCCATTTTTTCACTGGGTTATTTTCTTTGTTGTTGTTGAGTCTCATCAGCTCTTTACAGATTTTGGTGATCAGTCCTTTATCATTAGTGTTGTGTGCAAAATGTTCTCCCAGTTGGTGGGGTTTCTCTTTGGT